ACCAAATCCTGAAGTTGATTTGGTACGGCAAATGCCTATTACAACAAATCCTGAAGTTGATTTGATACGGCCAATATCCCGGTAAGGCAGTCGAGATGACATCATTTACCGCACTCATCATATATTTACACATTCATACATACGTTCATCACATATGTGCATCATACCTGCATCTTGACATCAACAAACAAGCCAAACACTTGAATGTGAATGGTTCGGCCCAAAGTGCCTCAAAGTCGGTTTAAAAAACTGACGTTCTTAAAAAAAGGCCCAAAGTGCCTCAAAGTCGGTTTAAAAAATCGACGTCCTTTATAAAAATGCCCAAAATGCCTTAAGTCGGAATGAAAAAACTGACTTAAAATTAAATTAAAATTAACCAAACCTCCATAATGGTTTTGGTCGGCCGAAATGCCCTAAAACTAAGAAGGCCATACAGAGCCAACCATACAAAATGTGTAGCTAAAGAGTCGTTGCAAAATTATCGCATAAATCATGAAAAACACTCGCAAAGGCCCGAGCGCCCTACGTATCGATCAACAGAACCATTCCAACATTTGACTCTTTCAACAAGCATTATATCACATATCGGGTACCAGATTACCCGACTAAGCCTCTCAGGTTCCCATTTCATATTAATTCCAAAAATTGTCCATTTCACCGACTTAGCTCATCAAAGAGCATAAAGCGCGAATGACATGCCAAACGACAGGCCAACGCCTGAAAACGATCATCAAAACGTCCACGGTTCCAAAAATATCCGGCCAACATCAATGTGTCATTTATCGCAACCAAAATTTATTTTACGTATGACTTCAGAACAGTTCTATTCAGAACATGTCCTAAAGTCAGGGGCCTCTATGTTGACATCAAATTTTGACCTCGCCTCTTAAAATATTATATGTGGATATATGTTCTAAATAAATATAAATATAGCAGGTTCTCTGAGCTGATTATTTAACATCGACCGAGTTCCGAAGTGCCCAGATCATCCACGTTCGAGCTTATCAGAATTAATATTATCAGCCCGACCCGGATATCGAGAAGATCCGAGTCCGACAGATACAATAATTGCCGATAAAATAGACGTCAATCGAAGCCGTCAAGTGTCACGATCGGGCCNGGAGGCATTATTGGACCTACAACACACAAATCAAAGAAAAGAAAAGGTCACTATTCATTATCTTCCGATTCATTCATCTCCTTTGATTCAACAACAATAATACCCAAAAGTTCTTGATTTCTCCATCTTCAATATACATACAATCGATCTTACACCGATTATTCACGGAATAGGGGTGTATATTTTTGTTGATCAAATCCGTTTATCAACAATGCTCTAAGTAGTATTTTAAATATCGTATCGGTATTTATACTGAACGAGCCATCGTTACACAGTTAAACAAGTTTTACGGTCTATTTTACCGATTTAGTATATTGGAAAAATTCCATTACAAAGCCCAATTTTGAAATTTTATTCTTTCTAAATAAAAGAATTACATGTTAGATTATTCTCAACTTTTAGTTAATATTTTATTGTAAGTTAATTTTTTATTGTAAGGTTTAATGAACTTTACTTTTTGACATAGATATGTGAACCAGTCAACTTTATATTATGATATAGTGAACAAAAATATTTTTATTTTATTTTGCAATTTTTTCACATACGTATAATAAAAAATAATAAATATCTTTAGTAAAATTTTCTTAATAAGAAAATGAAACTATATAAATCATATTTATGAAAAAGTTTAATAAAGATTATTTTAAAAAATTGATAAGAGAATTTGATCAGACTCTCAATCAGTACAATCATCTCCACGACATGCACAAAGACTCTATCCCATCATATAGGCTGCATTTGAAGAGATTTCCCAACAGCTCAAACTCCAAAGTTTGAGACTGAGGGTCATAGAGTCTCTTTAAATGCTCTTATATTTCATTGTAATTCATCATATCACATTGTCTCTTCAACCCAGTTGACATAGAGAACAATGTGACATATTATACTGAAATTTTATCATCCTAATACTTTTTATGGGTATCATGGTCAAACACGCATAGTACCCCAATAAAAGTCTTATTAGGTACGATAGGCACTTTTGTGTCGAACACATATTCAACTCGTTTTTACCACAACAACAACCACAAAAGATGCAGTCAATTCAGATAATCCAGTCTAATTAACTTATTCATTTCCATCATACATGTCAATGATAAATTCAAAATTCTATCCAACCCAGAGAAATATATAGAACATGAATATAAAACTACTTGATCACATTTGTTAACTAAATTAACATGACTTTTAATTAATTTAGCTCTCACTATTTTCACATACTCTACGACCCCTCCAAAGAGTACGGACTCATATCAAATATAGTCATAGTGAGCCAAGATCCACATTCATCCTATTATAGTCCTAACTACGTCTGATCACTATAATGGATGTATTGGTAAGTCTCTAAACCAATTGTAAATAATTACAACTCTTAGTTGATCAATTCTAATTTGATCAACGTCCTTAGATCATTCTGATGCTAGAGCGACAAGAATTAGCTAAGTAAGTCAAAACCATCACACGATCACAAACATATGTACCTATGAATAAGTCTCAGCCTCGTAGACCTAAGCAAACACTAGGGTGTAAATACTTTTGGACGAAGAGGTTTTTGCACTCATTCAATTGTGATGGGTGACGTCATGCATCTAAGATGAGACTTATACTTATTAGGGGAACCTTTTGAACAGGGTATTAAATATCTAATGTTCAAACAAGATCCAACTAATAACATATATCGGACGCCGCCTACCCGAGCATAATATAATGCAGTCCGACAAATATTGGGTGCCACCTACCCAGACATAATATCACGCGGTCCGACAAATCCTGGGCGCCGCCTATCTAGACAATATAATCGCGGACGCTAACTAAAATAAAATAAACTATTTAATTTATTTCAATTAGACAAATAGGAGCATCTATTCCAATTATCATGCATTTATAATATTCCAAACACATAAATAATAACAATATGTATTTAAAATACATATAATTAAGTAATCTAATTACTCATGCATTTATGTGGTTCTAAACACACATGCAATGATGTATTCAAAATACATAAGCCAAGCAAAATAATGGATCAAAATAAAGTGCTAACATATTCATCAAAATTTCTAAAATTTTGATTTGCTAAACAAGCTCGATGCTTCATTTTGTTCATTAAATATTTCAAAAATATTTAAGAGTCGTTGGACAATAAGTCTTAGTTTGAAATATACCCCAAGGTTTAATTTCAGGGATTTTTCAAAAATTTGAAACAAACAAAATAAACATTATTTAAGATTTTTCAAAAAAAATATTTTCAAACAACCAAACAGGCCCTTATCCACTTTTTAAGAATTACAAACAGGCCTCGGCCAATTTCAAAAATTACAAAAAGTCCAAGGACCAGCATGCAGTTTGATAAACATTTTAAAAATCGCAGATTTTCTTCTGGGGCCAATCTGCAACAAACGAAACTTTCTCAAATTGCAAATCCGCCCCTAACTATGTCAAATTTTCGAAATGAAGTCCCTGCTACTCAAAACCTATTTCACCCTTCCTGTCGCCGCCCATCGTTCATCTTCCGCATCGCACGACCTCCAACGGGAATCGTCAGCCCCAGGCTGGCGTCCACTCGTCGGATTTCTCCTTGGCGTGTCAAACCGCCGAATTTTTTTTCTTTTTTCTTTTTTATTTTATTTTTTGCGTCTGCCATTAATGGCGTACCGAGCTCGAAGCTCGATTTTCGGCATCCTGTAACGGTTGCATGCGATTACCATTTTTTATTTCTCTATATTTGGAGAATGTAACTGTTGCATGATTACGAGATAATGTTTAAACCCTTAAATTTGAATAGTTATTTTTTTTTTTAAGTTGTATGTTGACTATACACATGCAAAAGAAGTATTAAGTATTGATATGCTATAGATACAACGCAAAATAAATATAAGAAAAGTCATCTTTTGTAATAGAGATCTTTACACCAGCTCATTCAAATTCAAATTTTTTCATGCAAGATTGTACACTATATTAGTTGAATTTAATGAAAAATAATTATCCATTTTATTTCATATAATAGATTTAGTGATGAATTTGAATACTTTTATGATGTTCATTTTTACTAACAACAAATTTTTTAAAATGTGATACTATTACTTAACTTTAAGTTTTACAATTATGCACATACACGTAACTTATAAGTTATAATAATTTTAATTTCTGTGCATGTGCACATGATCAAATACTAGTTTGCAAATATTATGACTTTAAGATATAATCATTATTTGAAAATTATGTTTCAACTTTCTATATATGAATACAAATCATTGTGTAATGTACTTCTTTTGTTTATAACAATGCAAATAATTAAATAAACCATATAAAGAAAAATTGAAATCACAAAACAAGTATAAATCACGTATCACATTATCTTTTGTTTCATTAACTAAAATAATAATACAAAAATTAAATATATCATATAAATAACAAAAATATCATTTTAAATAATAAAAAAGGTATGAATTATTTTTTACGTACATCACACACACGTGTACTTTACTAGTGTGTAAATAAATGTTCCTATTCGAAAGAATAAATTTTATTGGCCATGACTTTATAATATAATAATATATGGCAATGAACTATACAACTATATAAAAATCCGGGCACTACAACTCCCTAAATGCCTTTGTCTTTAAAATAAATAAACTGCCAAAAAAGTGCATCTGGAGTTTCATTGCAGCATAAAAGGAGTGAATGCATTTGGGCATGATAAAATTGACCTTCTAACATAATGTATAGTCAATGGTTTCCCGTTATATATATTTTCATATATTATCTTTCAGGTACTATTCCCATTTGGTAATTTTGAATAATATTTGTTAAATTTTACCATGGAGTATGGAATCCAAAGTTTGTCATCAATAGGATGAAAATAACACATAAGACATAATTAATGTAAACAATTAATGAAAAATCCAATGAATAGTTGGGAAAACAACTCAATAACCATCTTGTATCAAACTTTTGCTCATCAATAAGTACAATTTTAGGACATAAATCTTATAAGAAAACAAGTAGAAACATTGGAAATGCAATGATCACCTCATCATTATTTTTCAAAAATTGCCAAATCAGCTTCTCCACCTCTGTATTCAACACTTTGTGGAAAATGCGCCCACTGCACAGTTTTTTAATTAACATGCAATAACTGATCAGAACTTGAAATATAATACTCCCTCCATTTTGAAATATAAGACATTTAAGGTTATTACACAAATATTAAGGAGACATTAATTAATGAATAAATTGACTAAATTAACCTTATTTACTCTAATCACAACCACTCCACACTTCCTTAATTTCAACACAATGAGGGTATATTTAGAGAAAAATACAAAAATTTGTCTTGATTTTTTAGAGCACTTTATATTTCAAAAAAATTGAGAAATCTTTATACGCCTTATATTTCAAAATGGAGGGAGACTGTAATTAATTAGATTACTTAAAGTACTCACATTTTTAGAAGCAGCACTGAAAGCCTGCTTGTGAGTCAGGTTGGGATGCTCAATCTTCAGCCTCTTAATCTCTTCCCTGAACAATAAATATGTTATTTTTGGAAATCATTATCGCTTATTATTTTTATCATCATTGTTATAAACTGAATATAATTTCCATGTCAATTACTCTGAAAGAAAAATGCTAATTAAATTTCAAAGTCTTTGTACCTGATGAAGCAATTGTAGGAAGACAATGCACGTTGTTTCTTATTTGGTGCTGTAGAACATATAAAAATAAATAAAATCATACATATATATATATATTCCAAGATCTTGTACAACATACATTATAATTAAATTAATCACAACTTTTACATACGTTTGTGGATAATTTTGCTAAATTGAATAGAATCTTCATCTTCATCTTCATCTGAGGAGAAAACAACAGTAATTTCTCTACTGCAACTTTTTACTATGTAAAAATTGGATTTTTGCACTTGAGGTATTAAAAGAAATATAAAAAAAAAAATGCATTTTCTCACACCTTGTTTTCTTCTTGCTGGTTGAGTGGAGAAAAAGAATTGAAATGGGAGTAGACAGGCCTTCATCATGTTGACTGAAAGGATAGTATTACAGTTCCCACATTCGACTGTTACCACTTTGGACAAGATGTTGCATGGAACATTAACCTTCAAAAGTGTCCACAAAAAACGTCCTTAATTATACAAAATTCTCAACAATGTAATCAACTCTTGATGAAAAAAAAAAAAATTTGAACAGTGATGAATTACAAGTAAGATGGTGTTGCAGAAGCCGCATTGCACGTAGCAAATTTTTTCATCTGACATATTTTCCAAAACCGACATCTTTAGGACTAAGACAAGAAAAATGACAAGTTGATGATAAAGGAGAAAAAATGTTTATGTGAAGTGCAAAGTGTGGTTATATTAGCCACAAAGCGATAAATTTATAGTATAGTATAGTGAGAGATCATGCACATATATCAATATGAATGGAACTATTAATTTTCAAATGTATTTCCAATTCTAAAAGAAGATAGATCCTGACTACATATGTGAACTTATCACCTGCATACTTTTCAATACAAATATTACTTTGATAAATATATATACACACACATTATATATATAAGTGTGCTCAAATGAAAAAAGAGCACAATGAAAGAAATAAGAATTAATCTCGGTCATTGAATACATCATATCAATGGTTAAAATAAAGTCAAAATGTAATAAATAATGGTGAAACATGGGTGGCAGTACGGTAACTAAGTGTACAAATAGTCAAATGTATACATGTGACCACTTAATAAGGGCAATTTTGATAATTACATATACACTCAATAATCAACCAACTATTTAAGTGGGCCTCACTACTAAACTTTCCCCTACTAATCATTCTCTCTCTCACAAGCCGTCTAGCCAACACACACACTCACCAACAGAATCGACTGACCACCGCCACCCAGCACACCGCTTGTCACCACACACAGACCTACCCGCACCGCGACTCGGGGCGTTGCTTGTCCGTCACCACCATCTGACACCATCGTCGTGCCGCTCGCCGCCAGTGACAAATATATGGCACACATAAACGGTGGAACGGTTCGGATTCTCCGAGTCACATGTTTAACCCTAGTTTGTAATGGTTCATGAATATTGGTTTTAACATTAAATGTGTGTTATAAGGAAGTATAGATGAACAATAAAATCTTTATTATTTCAGAACGGTCAATGATTAATTTTTTGGAATGTTGTTTTTAACATTAGTTCATAAAGTTGACTTCAAAATAAAATCTTTAATATAATGAAGTATAGATGAATGGTGGTTTTTTAAAGTATATAAAAATTAAATAACTAAAATTTAGAGTTACTTCTAAAGTTGAGTTAAAAACAAAATTACAAACTAGGGCTGAGCATGGGACTCGGATAATTCCGTACTGTTCTGAAAATCGAACTGAAATCACTCCGAACCGACAAATAATCGTTGACCGTTTGACTTTCTCCGAACCGAAAAAATAATTGGTACGGTTCTGGAGATTTCACAAATATTCATACCGAGAACCGAACCGAACTGTGTCATACCGTACCGAACCGAAGAACCCAATTTAGGAATCAAATTATAACATTGGAAGTGTGTCATTAATATATTTTATGTCAACTTTGACCCTATATAATTTGAGAATTTTTAAAATGCAAATAAATTATAGTAATAACAATTGAGTTTCATTTAAATTTCATGCTTAGTAACACTTTATCAACAATTGAAAATTTTCCTCTTTTAGAAAAAATATTTAAAATTGTATGGATGATTAAAAGAATATTTTTAAAAAATATATAAACTTTACTTAAATTTGTTAGTATTTTTCTGAGTCTTATTCTATCTTATAATTAAAATGGTATAAAAGCTTAAAGAAATATTTTTTTAAGAAAATACTATATTATATTTTGTTTGAATTTTAAATTTTCAATGTTAGTTGCACAAATTTAGTCTTATAAAATCTTTAATATGATGAAGTATTGATGAGTGTTGGATTTTTTTTTTAAGAAAAAGCATATAAAATTAAAATATAAATAGGTATCATTCAAAAAAAAAATTAAAAATAATTAGAAATCTCTGGAGATCCGTTCTGATAGTCCCGAATACCAAATTGAATCGATCCAAAAAATAAAAATCTCCGAACTGAACCGCCCCCATTGTATGGTATTGTTCCGGAGATCCAATTCTAGTAATCTCCGAATTTTGGTACGGTTCTGGAAATTTGTCAATCTCTGAATCGTACCAACTCATGTTCACCTCTAGTAAATTCATCATATTACTCATATTATAAATAAACATAACTAATAAAAATACTTTCATTGTCATTATTAGTCATTTATACAAGTCAAGCAAAGTAATAATACAATCACTTAATTAATTGCAAAACTGAGCCTAGATAAACAAAAACTGATACCTATTTATTTCAAGTGTATTTTTCGCTATATTTAACTTCTCCACCTGTACTTTCAGACTTCTTAATGAAACCGTAGAGATTTAAATTTTTTACTGCATCTGAGGCTTGTCTGAGTTTCTAAAACAGGTCATGAACAAGGAAAGTTGGCGCCTTCTTAAAATGGTGTCTTTCTTGAAAGAAAGAAATTCTCTCCCATTTCCCTTTGTGTTTTCTGTTCAATAATTTACTCTTCTGTCATCCTTACTATTGTGTATTGATGATTCCACATGAATTCAACATCAACATTAGATAGTTTTGAAGAGAAAAATACGTACTACTTATTTTCTTGTTAATTTGACATCCTTCAAGGGATTGGCACTCCCGTACACATGACACTGCATAATTTAAAAATTGATTCTTTATATTGTCCATTTTTTATTTTTGGTCGTCGATATTAATCCTCATCAACCTTGATCTTGTAATTGATATTTTGATCAGTTTCGATCCCTTTTTCTCAAAATTAGTCCTCTATATTGTCCATTTTTATCCAGGTTGCGGATAAAAAGAGACTAAAAACAAGTTGATGGAAATAGCCAGAAGACGCGTTTCAGATCGAGTTATTCTTACTCGACCAGAGTGGGGAGACCAGATGATATGAAATATCATACTAAACCGGTTTTTAATGGATAAGAAGAAATATACTGAAGAATAAATCTGCACATGGGATAGGACATATGTCATAATGATATTGTGCAAACCCAACTTGGGCACTAAGGTACACCTCCCCTGTAAAGGACCTAAGTTATCCCCAAAAACACATTTTCTCTACATTCATTATTATACCCTCATATTACACTTTATCTTCGGTAATTACTGACTTAGGCATAAGAGGCTCGACGGCGGGACTCATTCCGGCGTTGAGTTCTTGCAGGTACGAAGGTCGTCCGAGATAGAAGGAGCCTGGGTAAAGTCCAATATTTCACTATTAGCATGTGTGTTGAATACTTATAAAATTGGTAAAAAAAATCCGTTTGGTTTGATAACGCTAGTGCTAATACAACTTCTTTGACTGAGCTTAGAGAAATTCGTCATCCTAATTGTGGTATTTTTTTTTTTTATTTATTTTTTTATATTTGGTGTATGTGTCATGTTCTTAATATTGGTGTTCAATTGAGTTATAATGCTTTGGAAGAGTCGATCACATCTATTAGGGAGGTTGTTTTACAATTGCACCGTCATCCTCAAGAAATGAAAAATTGGGCAAGAAATTGTAGAAATGCTAATGTTGTACCTGAAAAATCCAACCGGATATTTCTACCCAGTGGAACTCAATTTACAAAATGTTAACAAAAGCATGTGAATTTTTTATTCAATTAGAGAATTTTTTCAGCAGTCTTGAGCATTGTGACTGCACTGCCACCCTTAATTTAAAGAACTGGGAGGAATGTAGAAATCTTGTATCATTTTTTGGAACATTTCAAATTGATATTGAAGTACTTTCTGGTGTTTACTATCATACTGCTCAATGTGTCATGTTCAATAAACAATTGTAATGTGGGGATTTAAAGATATTTTTGTTAGTGATCCTTATAGACGTCATGACCTTGTAAATGAAATGTTGTAAAAGTGATTAAAATAATATTTTTATATTCTCGCTACATTTTTAATTGCAACTTTGTTTGATCCATCTCTACATAAAAAGTTGATTGCTTAACCAACTCCACAGTTATTATGAATTTATGTATCCACTCCCACTTCCTATTGATGTTATTCCTGTCATTGAACTATCTAACTCATGATTGCTTGTCGAGCAAGCAAAATATTTTTTGTATGACTTATTTAATGAAATAGCAATCGGACTCGGGAAAATCCGTCGTAACTTTTCTCTTCTACTTCTTCTTATTCTCATTATCCTCAACAATTGTTAGATTTAGGCAAAAGCATTTATGAATGGGCCTCATCATTTAATGTCTACAAAATGCTAGGATTGCAAGAAATAGAGGGACTGGATGATGAACTTAGTCGCTTCTTGACTGCAAATCTTGGCCAAAACCATCGGTTCCGCCACACACGTTCGATGTCTTGATTGGTGGTAAAGAATGAAGACCACTTATCATATTCCATGATTTATGACCAAGAAGATTTTCTCTATTCCGGTCTCAATTGTGGCGGTTGAACAAAAATTTTGCGAGGGAGGATGTACTTAGAGATTTTCTCTATCCCAGCCTCAACTCTGGACGTACGACGGTTGAGGTTAATGCCACTAAACTTAGAGGGATGTTGTTGAGTGATTGAAAGAGGACTGAAAGAAGAGCACAAACGACAGTGCTAACTGAAAAAAATGATGAAGAGCCGGATGATTTTACTAATACTAGTGGAATCGTCGGAACCGAAGACGACGACTACACCTACGATTACTAGATCGTTCAATGCATCATGTCATTTTATTTCATTAAGATAAGTAAGGTAAGTAAACTACGAGAACTTTGATTCCCAAGATAAATGATTCGTAGACAAACTAATTGACATATTATAAGTTTTAACTGATATTTTAGCTTATAATATGCCAACTAACGTCCCAACTTTTTTATTCCCTCTCTACCTCCCATCAGGGACGAACCTATATGTACTTTAGGGGGGGCCATTGTCCTCCCCCAAGATTTCTAATTTCTAGTGTATATATATATATATATATAGGGTCGCGCTCCGGTGAGAATGATGCTTCATGCGAGAAATGAGAATAAATCTCAACCATAGGATTAAATGATCCAATAGCTAAAAAAAGTCAAAATAATACTTGCATTAAGGATATTTTAGACTTTTTATCATCAATCATTAAACACATAAGTGGGTGCCACCATGAGACAATAAATCCAATTCCCTCACCCAACGCAGGTAATGATTCAGATTTATTTTCTCTCTCCACTCCTCTCTCTCTCCCTCCCTCTATCTCTCATGAACGAACACCACAGAAAGGCCTTCACACGGTGGTCATCCTCTCGCCGGCGCCGACCGCCGCCGCCTCGGAACTAACGCCGCCGCACGGGTTCGTTCAATTGAGTCCATCCCGACCCTCGTCGCTGTCCGGCGTGAAATTGGCCGTAAAGGACCTCGTCGGCCGTCCTTCACCCACCACACGACGTCGGCCTCGCTACTCTAAGAGAAGGAGATCGCCTCGATTTCGTCGGTCTACACGCCGTAGGTCGCAGACGTCTACTGCTCACCGCCGGTCAGTCGTGCGCCGCCGTCTATTTCACACCATCCAACCGCCGCCGCCGTCACGTTTCGCCATCCGACCCCCGCCGCGGTCTCCTTCCGCCATTTGAACGCCGCCTTGTTCCTGCATTCCGACCGCCGCCGTCCTGAAGGGAATATCAGTGAACGGTGCTTGAAGCTTCCACAGGCTTGAATTTGTGGGGCCCTATTTTGTGAATTAGATATAAATGAAGGACTGGATTGTAATTTAGATATTTTGGTTATATTTCAATTAAGTATATTGGGTTAAATCTGTAATTTTTAAAACATATAAACTCTTATTTTTCATATTTGTTTATTTATACATATATATACTATGTGTTTACAAAAAACAGAAAATATTAAATAAAACATAGAAATAC